GCACTATTTGGACAAAATTATCCTCAGGTTTTGATTTATTTTAAAGATGAAAATAGAACTAGGTATTATTAGTAGCTAGGGGTTTATCAACACCACCTTTTCTGTATTTGTGTCACTTGTATTGTAACCTTCCAGCTGTATTTGGACTGTACTGCAGCACAATATGTTCTCCTAGTTCTCCGTTAACGTCTGTTAATTAACCATTACCTTTCTTTCTCCAGAAAAAAGCCCCATCTGAGGTGTGCATGCACACAAACACTCCTGGGATCATTTTGTTTTGAACACAAAATAGTTGACTCCTTTTTTTTAGGATTGAAGATGTGTGAACAACCACCAAACATTTTACAGCATATTGACTGCTGTTTCTGACTCAGCAGCAACACAAGACTTTTTTTTAAAATCCGGTAATATAGCCAGTGAACAATGTAAAAGCACTAATGTTCAATTTGAGGAAAACCGGATGCTAGCCTGGAAACATCCGCCTGCCTTTCTGGACTTAAAATTACTCATTACACCAAATATTCATTCCGTCAGACTCACATTCAGTAATTGAGCAGTCTGCCACACTGTAGTCATTTTAAATGCTCTTAAATGTTGATGAATGCACCAGAAAATCTAGGGCATTTTAAGAAACCCGAAGTACGTTCTCTGGAGGGTAAAACATCATACAAAACCAATGACTGTTCGCCTATGCGGTGAGATTTTTAATCTGTTGCAAATTACTGAACTCAAGGGAGTTACGTTAAACTGTGAATCTGGCTTACGCTTTCTTTCTTCTTGACGTATTTAAGAACTTACAAAAGAAGAATGAAAATGTAAGCATGAAAAGGAATAATACCGAGTCCTTTATAACCTTGTAAACCCTTTGTAGAACAAAGCTATTAAAATGCTTTTGTCAAGCTTTATCAGTTCCCCAAGTTTTACATGCATCAATCATTTTTCTTGTATTGGGGGCAAAATCCTGCTTGCTTTACGAACGCAAAAACTGCTTTGTTATTCATTTCACAGAAATAGTGAAAATTTGATCTGGCTTTTCACAGATAGATTGTACATGCTGTCCTCATTTCCTTAAGAGCTATTCACCAAAATAGCCTGAATAGTGTAAAGACTGGGTCCACAATTTATTTTCGATATTTATTTCTTCTTTAAATAGTACGTTTCAATTAAGAATAAACAATAAGAGAATATGGCAATGCAGCCCTTGTGAACAAACCTACAGGAACTAAAAAGAGGTTTAGATGCACGTAAGGTAGACAAGTAATTACAGTAAGTAGATGTTAGCTGCAGGTTTTTATGGTGGGGATGAAAATGTTCAAATAAAAACTGCTCTGACCATATTAGTTTACCTTGGTAGCTTGTGCTTCACTGCATTTCCTTTCTCTGCTTAGTCAGTATGAAAATTAAATTCTACTGAATTTGACAAGTTGCCATTTGACCTGATGTTGATTTAAGCTTCTAGAACCTCATGTCAGCATGAGGTCACTGAAAGGCGAAGTCAGTGAATCTAAAAATGGTGCAGAAAAAAGAGATTAGGCTTTACTTGGGTTCAGATTATTTAAACAAACAGACAAGAATTTAGGGAAAACAAAATTGTGTTTCTCATCTGATTGGTTAAATCACTTTATTAAATGATACAATTTACATCTCTGGCATGCACTCTCAAATAAAGTGTCCTTTGCAGTGAACAAAAAGTCTTTGGAAGTGAAAAGCCTTTTATAAAGATAATACAGTCTTTTGCTACTAGGCAGAAATGCGATGTGAATAGATATTTGGTTGTGTTAAAGCAAATCAAAATGAAAACAATTACGAACAAGAGTTGTGAACATCATCATCTAGCATAACTAAAGAAACTAAATTTTCAATTATATTGTGTATTCAAATACTCTGCATGTTAACAGAGACACCTCTGAGAGTGAACACAAAACCGATGTATTTAAAATACCAAGAAAATTTTTTCCTCACATTTACTGAGCAGATCTGTGCATTCAAAAACAAATGTAAGAAATACTTGCATTAATATATTCAGAACTCACGCACAACAGTCACAGCTATTTGATAGAAAGCTGCTTTGCTAGTGGAGGAATGGGGTGAAGAACAGAAAGTGAAAAATGCCATGTGGTTCTTCAGAAAGCTCTGTATGCATTAATATTTCATTTAGTAGTCCGGGCCTGCTGCTTCCATTGAAATCAGTACGTTGTCTCAGTATGGTTTTAGCCTGATTTCCTTTGTAAACAAGGCTATGTGATCTGTCTGCATGCCTGTGTGTATGCCTATCCTCCCATTAATAACTTTGAAAATGTGTATTTGTTTCATTTCTATGTGGCAGTGGAATAGATCTCAAAGACAATCCATTGCCCACAGACCTTGTAAAAATAGATGGCTGGGTAGAGGACGGATACACTTACCAATGTTGCTATTGAGGGAAATGCTGCCGTGTGAACTCATTCCTTATTAGATATGAGAGAATGCATATTGGAAAGAGAGCTAGTAAATCCTATTAAACACCCAAGTTAATCTATGGTAAGATACGAAGCCACATGAAACTCAATGTTGGTAATTCTCATGTTCACAGAAGTACTTAAGGATTAATTCCTTCTTGTGAATAGAAGAAAATTATATGGCTATGCTTTGTTCTTCTTGGGACATTGACAGAAAGTCAGTGATTCTGTGTGTGAAACTCTGATTCTGCCATTCTTCCATGTTTGTTGCATATTTGGCGGGGCGGGGGATGTTAGAGCTTGATCCTAGAGTATGTTTTCTGTATTGCTATGTGATCACAGCATTAAATTATTTTTAATATCACTTTGTATCATAACTTTTTTTGTAATATCAAAATTTAAAAATACTTTTGGCAATTTTTAATTGCATGTACCTTAAAATTAAGCACGCATTTCCTTATGGTACATGTATGACCTTAGAATGCACGACATTAGTTTCAATGAGAATTCAAAAGTTAGGTATCTGGTTCTGAGAATTAAAATAATTTTATAGGGTAAAAATATAGCTTACTGCAAACTCATTAATCTGGTTTCCAGTTTAACAACGTGAAAGTTCAAAACAGAAACCTGAGCTTGACTTGGATACGGGGAATCATTTTACTATGGTGATATGGACCACAGTTCAGCAAAAATATGTAAGCATTGTATAATTTTCAGAATGTAGGTCTTCTGTGAAATACACGTGCTCTAGTATTTATTGAATAGTTAAGGACTTGATGACTTTGAATTATAAACTTCACTGAATTTCACATTGAATTATAATCTCACTGGAATTAAGTGAAAACTTGACACGTACTTCCAGGGAGATAGGCCTTGATCCTAAGACAAGCCCTTAAGGCTAATGGGACTACCACAGTCCCATTGGTTTCAGTGGGAGTATTCCCAGTTGGGATAAAAGAGGACATTATGGGAATCTGCAGAGAAAAATCTATTTTTGCCTGTGTGGCAGGATTACTGATTATGTGCGTGCATGGCTCTGAGGTGCAAAGCATATCATGGCAGCCTTGTTCTTGTAATTTTTCTAAATCATCTTTTCTTTACAAAGTCATAATTTGTGAAATAAATTTGTAAGGTGATACAGCAATATGATTCTAGTTTAAAGTTTACAACTCCCATGTCTTCATTTCCTACTTGATCAAAAGGATCAGTTGATTTCAGGGAGACTTTTGTTTGACTAGAGAATTACTGCTGACTTAAACTCATTAAGGGTATATTTTTTCATGTAATTATTTGCTCTTATGGGAAATTCCAGCTCAACTGAGCCTAAGTTTAATTTTCCTCCTTCCTTTATACCAATTATATTTTATAATTGCTATAATGGAAAATTCTTTGCAGAAGGGAATATTTTGTAACTTATTCTTTCTTACTGTGCATATATTTTAGTCCTTTCTAATCTAACCACTTTGCTCACAGCTGACAACCTTATTGAAACTAAGGATAGTTAACAGTGCTTCTGCAGTAATTTTAGTTGGCTGTGCTTGACAGACCCTTGAAGAATGCCCCACAAAATGAGGAGGATGCAGAGCACTTTGTAAAACTTGGGGTATTCATTTAATGCTTTAACAACATCTAAACTACCCAATAAGCTTGGAATACATATGTTTTTAGCCACATATTTCTATTGTTTAAATAAACTGCAAATGCAAGATATGTATCACCAGCAAAAATTATTTACCACCTCTTCAGATCCATCAAGATAGTTTAATTGTAACCAACCGTCCAAATATTTGCTACTCGTACTAGACTCATACCGCGTAACACATGTCATAAACCCTCTTTCACATGCCAATTTCTATGTAGAACAGATACTGTTCTTGCTAAACAACTTCTCTATGTCTTCCAAACTGAGAATACAAATCAAAAGCTTTCTAAACATTGAGCTACCTAGATACAAAGAATAACTGCCCAGCCAGTCAGATTACCAGACACTGTAGCAGGAAATGTTCAGCAAGTAGTGCATTTCACAGAGAAATAAAGGCTGTTCAGCCTCTGACTTGTTCGATAGTTTATTACAAAATTAACTTGCAATCCAGTTTAAATACACTCTAAATACTTTCTTCATCCTTTTTGTTGTACAAGTATCATCGTACTGATCTCTGTTAATAACACCTTTCTTCCTGTTGTGTTTAGATTATTTGAATAATTTCAATATATAAAACTTCATCGAAACTGTCTTGAAATCCATCTGAAATGGATGACTGCATAAGGTTACATATATCTACATGTTGTAGGGATTCAGGTGCCATGACCACAAATGTATTTTAACTGCTGACACAGTAAAAATATTCATTTATTTACTTTCTTAGCTCATTTTAAAAATGCAGTAAAGAAAACACATGGCAAGTAAGCCAGTGCTTCCAAGTGTTCCATGTCCATTGGAACTTCCCCAAGTCTGGTTATATCTAGTACCTGGGAATTCAGATGTCGAACATACCCAGAAAACCTACAAGATCCTGTAAATACTTCTTACCTTTAAATGCCCTTATTTTACTTCTTTTTTTTCACATTAACTTAACTGCAAGCACTTGTACTGTCTCCATCTACATCCTTTCGAGATTTTTGTATCAGGCACATTGGTTGCCCCACTTTCATCCCGCCCCTCACCCCAAGAAACGTGTATTTTTGCCTTTTGATGAACAGGACAATCTTAGGTTAGGTGTAAAACTGAGTCTATTCTAGAGGCTGCTAGCCCTTCGGTTATGTCAAAACTGTGCTCCATTCAATTTTGCCTCCTCATTTCTTTAGTTCAGAGACCGTCAGGCCAGCAAGAAACTTTCCTTCTCCAACTCAAATCTAAGGCTTGGAAAGCTGGAAGAAGGGAAAATATGCCAGGCCCTTCAGCTGCTCATGTCGGACGCCTCCATCCCCTTGGCTGTGGATTGTAGTTTGAATCAGCTGTTGACAAGCAATAGTCAGACCTGGAATCCATGGACGTGATATCAGGATCTGTTCTGGACCATTGACTGTGGTAAGCATACTGCAGCTGAGAGCCAGCCTGCGTGGTGGCACTTGGGGCAGACAGGGCGCTTTTGGGGGGTGGCAGAATACCCGATTGCTTCCCTCCTAATACGGCTACACTACCGCTTGGGACTGGAGGCTCGTAAGAAACTTTTTGTTTCCATTCATCTGGGGGCTCAGGAAGTGTTTTCCTGCGAGCAGCTGATACTACGTTAGCAGCAATGGATTCCTGCATGTTTTGGGGCCCAAAAGCTTCATCCACTAGGCCAAGGGGGGATCTTGCCGCTGCTTCCCAGGGAGTCAGTCTCTTGCCAGGCCTGTCGGCTGCTGTGTCTGGCTTGCTGAAGTAATCAGGGGCAGGCTGAAATACAAGAGGAGAAGTAGGAGACATGGCTCGAGAAATGAATGAAGGTCTCCCAGGAAGTGACAATGAGCGTCCACTGCGTCTTTCCTAGGAAAACAAAATACCAAGTATAGTTACAGTTATTAAACAACAAAAAAGGAAGCCCCTTCTCTTCACTTCCAAACTGGAACAACAGACCCTGAAAGCACATGACATCCTGGCAATCCCTTTTTATGTCTATCGTACTTTTTAATGCTTTAATTTAGTGGAAAGAGAGGAGGTATTAAAAAGGAGACAGAAAAAGAAACAGGAACAAAGACAGAGCAAACTGAATTTTTGAGGAAAGTAAACAGACCGAAAACAGGCTTTTACTGAAAAGGTACAATTACGTTAGCAACTGTGCAGCTTTTCCACTACTTAGCTAGCGTGCCTTGTTCTGAAAAGACCATTCTTCATAATGAAAAAGGAAGTCATGTTGTGACAGTTCTGAGTGTGTTTACGAGATTCTTTCTAACATGCAGGCACAGCCTCAGTTATTTGGTAACAGGCTCTGTCTAGGACATCTGTCCGAGAATATATCTTTGGCAATCTCCTTTTAAGGAAGGCACTTCTTACTCTAAAATTATTAGACTTATCCTAGTTTTCACTTTTCAGTGCACAAAAATGAACACAAAAAGTTAGACGTTAATGCAGTCATTCACTTAATACCCTTACATGACGCTGCTTAACCTGGCTTCTTTAAAAGGCAATGCCCTCAAAATTTCAGTACATTCCGACCCATTTATAGGAGCACTCCATTCATATTTGACAAATCCTAATCTTCTTAGTAATGCAGCACTTTGAAACAGAAACTGCGTTCATGAGAAGGTTCTGCTGCGACAGTCATTTGGCAGTGTACGAAACAGGTACGGCCTTTTCCCCAAGCCAGACATGTTCTTTGTGTTACAGAGACAAATTACGTTGTTCTTACCAAGTAGTCTCTATACATGTGGTTCCTAAACTCATTGATTTACATCCATTGATTCATATCCTGAGGTTTAAATGCTTTTAATTCTGAAATCTGGTGTGAAATTCCAGGCTCTTTTGCCAGAGTCTTTGCTAGAATTTCATTCAAACAGCATTGGCCTGTGTTACTTTTCCTGATTAGCTTCAAAACTTAAAATACTGTGAGCATGATCTAGATACCAGCCAATAGGTATCTGATCATACAAGGTGTAGCTTCTCTAGCAAAGATTCACATACAAATGTCATGCTTTATAGGCTTTTCTGTCACAGGATCTTGACACATTTAAGAAACTTAGAAGAACTCTGCTTCACACAGGCTTTTAAGATATGTTTTAATATCAGTCTGGTGTATGAGAGGTGGAAACTGAGAAAGAGACCACTGATTTCATTGTTTTCAGTCAGTTTGGTGGTGCTTGGTCTGAATCTCTTAAAAAGTGTGGCATGACACACAGAGGTTATGTAATGAGAGTTTTGACAAGTTTCACAACTAATGCTTTATAACAAGACTATCCTTTCACCTCTTAGCTATGACCAGCTGTTCCCAGTTTGCAGTTCCAGAGAGGAAACTCCCCAACTTTATTAATCCTACCCCCAACATACTTAGGCAAATTTTCATGAGGTTCTATGCCTATTCAGAAAAAAATACTTAATTTTGGGCAACTTAGCTCTGTTAATTTTTGACAATCCTCACTTAAACCTTGAGTAGATCAAACATTAAAATGTGGCTGATCAGATCATCACATATAGACAGATCCCAACTGAGTACTCTAAGATGGTAGCATATAAAAACCAAGAATTATCCATTTGGAAGGTAAGTGAATAAAAGAAGATACAGAACTTCTTTTCCCATAGATGAAGTTATATACTGTCAAGAATGATTAAAGTTTCTCCATATCTTCACCTAATGGGAGCCTAGTGACTGCTAAGATTGTTATGGTAGTGTCTGTTGTAATAAAAGTGATCCAACAGCACCCTGCGCAGCAGATTTTTGTACATTGCATAGTGACATACTTTTGCAATAATTTATTGAGTTTCAAAATAGAATATTTCTATCTACCCCAGCTTTATTCTGAAATTGAATAATCTTTGCCTTCAGAATATACATTATCACACATTTTTTCACACTCTGTGGTAAACAGGTTTGAAGCACCTGTAGAAAAGCATGATTTTGCTAAAATATAAGTGTACCTCAAATTCAGGAACTGGGAGATGATCAATATTGCCTTGTTTTCAATTGCTGTTAATTTTCATTATTGATAGTGGTGTTCCTAGACTGAAAATCTAGGTCTGAACATTTCTAAATTCAAAGCAGATCTGTATTTTATATTCCTGTATTGATTTCTATCACTACTTTGGTGTTCAGCCCCTTCAAACTAACAAACACAAACATTGGAATTAAGGCAACATTTAGTCACTAGAATTCATCATTCATTTACTGGACAGCAGCAGCCAGAGTAGTGATACTTTCTGTTATTTTCTCTTCATATTTAATTCTTGGAGATACATCTTTTGACAAGCATGTGCTAAAAAGAATGCGCAAACCCCAGATCGTAGGTGAGACAGTGGGAAATACGAAGTGCAAATAGAGAATAATTATTCTACCCTCCGTCTTTCTTAAGCTACAAGGAGATCATAAAAATGGTAGAGATTTTCCATTCTTCTTCCCAGAAATGGAGGGAGAAGGGAAAGAAGAGTGATATGCTACCAGAATTATTACATTATCACATATTGTGTTACTGTAATCTTGTTGTAAAACATTCATTATAATACTGTACTAGCACTCAAATACTATGCTGCAAAACAAATGAGAACCCTATACAGTGATTAATTTGTCCTTTTCCACTGCCTCGTGTGAACTTTTTCAGAGGGAAAGATCTTTTCTACAATAGTTATTGAAGGGAAAGTGGTTCTTGGGTGTCAAGAAGAGGAAAGACAGTTCAGAGCTGTCCGTTGCAATCATAGAATCCTAACAGCAGCTGCTGACTGCTCGGGTGTCTACGCAAACGGATTAAACTTTAGGTCTAGGTTAACACTGATTTAAAAATGCAGACTATTTATAAACTGGTCAATGAAGCAAACATTTATTGTACCACAGGCATCTTTGATATTTATAAGCTGTGTATTAATATAAACTAAAATGAATGTAATATTACTTCCAAAAGAAACTATTTCAGTAAATGAATGTAAACACAGTACTTATAAAAGGTGTGTGCACATATAGATCTGTTTAATGTAAGTTGAAGGAGTGTGAATGTCTGCCTCTGATTCAATAATATCTAAATCGATAGTCCAGAAAAATCAGTTATTTGGAACTTACTGCTATTTCTAATTTCTTGATAGCTATGAAAAGCTGAAAGACAAAAAGAGCAATACTAAGTTTCATAAAATAGTGCAAATTTTAAAGGCAAGAGTCAGAAAGATATTTTTCATTTTACAAACCAAATGGGAATGCAAAATACTACTTAGTGATGTGATTTCACAATAACTGTTTTTCTGTCTTAGGTGGCACATCTCCCTAATAAGTAAAAACTGTTCATTTGTTTACATGCTGAAACTGCCTTTTCACCAGTTAAGGAGACATATATTAAATTTTCAAAAAAAGTCAAGTTCTATTTTCAGAAGTAGGTTGGACTCTTTAATAGTCCATGTCTCAGTGAAACGCTCTGCAACGTAGACTCCCACCTGATTAAGTCACTTCAAACCTTAGACCTAGGTGTCTAAGTCATTAAGGCAGTTTTGGTTTTGTCTGTTCATTATAGTCCTGGTCCTTAATCCCATATCAAAGCATGTTCAAATCTGAGTTAACATTGGCGCCTGGCTAATGTTTACACAAAAAGGGGACAAAGGAGGAGGAAGTAGATAAAACAATTGTACTGTCTCAAAAAATGACTCTGCCTTTATAAAAAGCCCAGAGTGATGCATTTCTCATTTTACTTTCTATGGCCTTGTAATGGCTACTGCAGTTAGACACCAAACCACTGAGAAAGTGGCAGGACAAAATAAGTAATACTTGATTTTTATGCCTTTTAATTCTTTCCTTCTTCCCATTTTTTTAAACATAAAACAAGCACTTCAGATCTTTAAACTGAACTGTGTATAGAAGATATATTGTTAATCTTATTATAGTTTTTTTCATCCCAAACCATATACAATTTAAACTTTATGTAATGAAAAAATAATTTCTCTCTGAAATGCTGCCAGCTCTTGAGCAAATGCTACAGCTATTTTACAATACAAATACCAAAAATTTTGAAATAAAATGGAAAAATCATATTTATTTGCAACTCTGGAAATAATTTATAGCAGGCTAAAATTGGAATGCAGCATTTTGGTTAACGGGGATCGTAATGGCTGGAGAGGCAGGGAATCTTACCTGTCTAACAATTAAAGCCTTGTCAGCGGCTGCACTGAGACTAGTAATAGATTAGAATCACAGAGTTCATGTCTGATCCTAACTTCCTCAAAGCTGTCTTGTCAGGGCTTGCTTTCAAAAATTTGTAGGGAGTTTTACAAGTGGAACCTAATTTGTTCTAAGTTTAGATTGGTTATAACTGTGATATTATTTCAGGTGAGAATACTCTTGTTTTCATCGTTACTATACAAACTAATGAAACAGTTACTGTCAACCATCTTACATAAGCTTTGTGACAAATTCTGCTTTTGACAATAAAGTCTTTTTTAGTTGTCAAGTAATGGTAGAAGAGAAAAGTGAGATATTAGAATTAGGCTTTCACTACTGCAAAATGCCTGCGTGGAAAAGAAACATAAGAGTGCTGCTAACCTTGTCATAAATTAGTTATTCAGTTAGCTCAGTTTGCACTTGTGTAAATGAAAGAAAATCAGTGCTTTCCATATCATTTAATCTTTATCCATATACGATTATCAAAATACAATACAGTTACACCTATAAAAAGCAAATGGCTGAAACTTTTTTGGCCATAGGCCTCTTAGCTTTCCTTGGAATAGACAGTTTATGTCTTGTAAGGAAGAATATTTGCTGCCACCTTCTGGACTTTTCTATTACGCAGATTAGAGGAAGGTCTTGGAAGGTGAAGCCTTGTGAGTGAACATTTGAAAAACAAGTGAAAAGTTGGTCCTAGTTT